TAATATATTTTATCTATGTGCAAATAAACGAGTTGCCGGTCACGGTAGCCGAGCGGTCTAAGGCATGCACTGTCTTCGCCCGCTCGGAAGCCGGGATCGTGGGTTCGGATCTGTTTCCTGTGAGGTACGAACTGAGTTCTTATATATTATTCTTATACACTGCCGGTCACGGTAGCCGAGCGGTCTAAGGCATGAACTGTCTTCGCTCTCCCGAAAGCCGGGATCGTGGGTTCGAATCCAACACAAGACATGGATGTTTGGTGTGTGTATGCGTTTATTATACTATTTTTTAATGCTAGTGGGGTGGGACTAAGTCCCTTGTAATGCGCCCACTTCTGGCTTATTGTACCAGCCCCAGATGATAGGTGAGGGTGATTGTGGAGCAATTGGTGGGATGAAGATCGGCAGGGGAAACCGAAGTACTCGGAGAAAACCTGCCCCAGCGCCACTTTGTCTACCACAAATCCCACTTGACCAGACGCGGGATCGAACTCGGGCCGCCGCGCTGGGAAGCCAGCGACTAACCGCTTGAGCTATGGCGCGGCCGTTTGTATCTTATTCATGTTACATACGTTACGAGACACGTAAGTTTCATAATGCTTTCCATTTTTCGAATACTAGGGTCGTGGATTCGATTCCCGCTTTGACCGTTGATGTCTGTCAGCCTTTTTCTGTGTCTGTACTATTTTGTGCGGGTAAGAAAACTTGTCATGCTCCTATTCTTCATTCAAATATGGTGACAGAGGGAAACTTTGAGGTTATATCCGGCATAATGAACGTAGAATCTGTGATCAAACAATAAAGTTCTTCATAAAAGTAAAATAAAATATAATAATAATGCATTTACATGAATGGAAATCTGTGCCAAACGAAAATAGGCTTTATGAATTCTCCTATGACCCCCTGTTTAATCTTCGCATACAGCGTGAAATTCTGTCTGATCTCTTTCCGGCCATTTTGTGTAGTTGTCTCCACTCGCTTATACCGAGGGAGAAGCGTTTCTTTTCTCAATTAGTAAGCTTGACCCACACTCAACTTACAGAATGAAAAAAAGAAGTATGCTCTATAACTAAAAAAAGAAACTCCGTGATTTTAGTCCGCAAGTGAACTATACCGACCGAGCGACCGCCGCTTGTCGGCGAAGTTTAGTGCCAACTTTTGCGGATAGAGGGTGTCGCGTGGGCAGCGCAACGAATCCCCACCGCCGTTAATTAAAAAATAATAAAATATTATTAATATAATGTAGAGTTGATAAAGAGAAGGTAACTATTATTATTCGGGAGTGTCCTATTACAGGACACAAACACAATTTAATAAAGTGAACTAAAATATTTACTAAACACCCCAAATAACAAGAAATTCTGCGAAAAAATAATTTTCTACTTTCCTTTGAAACGACAAGGACCGCATGAAAAACGACGCGTTCAACAATATTCCTATTGTTGCGTGTGTATTAGTTGCGCCGGTAACGTTTCTACCGCACCTTGTCCTGGCAACGACGGGGGAAATACACACACAGATTTATGGGAGGGATTTATGAAGTACGCAGTTGAGATGCCATTATGTTTACTCGTATATCAGTTTTCTTCCGAAAGTTGACCGGTGAGGGAGTGACAGACGCACAAATATCATGGTAATCTCACGGGCCTAACTTTTATTTTACAAAATAAAGTAGACTAAAAATTTAACAAATTCCATTCTGTAACATTACATACTCCATCATGATGAGAATAAATTTACGACGGTTTATTCTAAATATTCAGCCAGTCAGGTAGCCAAGCGGTCTAAGGCATGCACTGTCTTCGCTCGCTCAGAAGCCGGGATCGTGGGTTCGGATCTGTTTCCTGTGAGGTACGAACTGAATTCTTATATATTATTCTTATACACTGCCGGTCACGGTAGCCAAGCGGTCTAAGGCATGCACTGTCTTCGCTCACTCATAAGCCGGGATCGTGGGTTCGGATGTTTCCTGTGAGGTACGAACTGAATTCTTATATATTATTTTTATACACTGACGGTCACTGTAGCCGAGTGGTCTGAGGCATGAACTGTCTTCGCTCGCTCGGAAGCCGGGATCGTGGGTTCGGATCTGTTTCCTGTGAGGTACGAACTGAATTCTTATATATTATTTTTGTACACTGCCGGTCACGGTAGCCGAGCGGTCTAAGGCATGTACTGTCTTCGCTCTCTTGGAAACCGGGATCGTGGTTTCGAATCCTACTCAGAGCATGGATGTTTGTGTGCGTTTTTCTGTGTTTGTCTACAGGTAGAGGCGTTGCGACGAGCTGATCACTCGCCTAAGGAGTCCTATCTTATGTGTAAGATCTAGAAAAACCGAAGTGAACGGAGAAGTTCATGGAGGTAGGCCTAGGCCCACTGGGGCTGTAGTGCCAAGGGCAAAAAATTCTAAATATTCACAATGAAACTAAATACTGTAACTGGTAGCTATATTTTGAGAACATGTGGGCATATAATCATTTCATTAGGTGCATGTTTGAAACCAAAGAAACGAGTTATACTGGGTAGCAAATTACGAAGCCTATTACAGAAACCCGCCCCCAACTACTGTGTCTCCCTGTACCCTTAATTAGCACCATTAACGACCCGCTGCTGACCTGCTATATTTAATTCCAATATTTCCACCCAAAAATCAGGCCGAATTTATACCGTGTCCTGACGAGCCATCGTGGGCCTATATAACCCGACTCATGACTGGATGGCCAGGGTTCGATTCTCAAAATTGTCACTGTATCACTGTCTTGGCTCACCCTGCCTCTTATCCATTGGGTGTTTAGTCTCTTCTTCCGGAAGCGAGATAATCAGTTTATGAAACGTCACACAAGTGAAGAATGCATCACTTCTTCTATACGCCTCTATGGCATAGTGCTTAGGCATACGGTCGTAATATTTCTGAAAGTGCTATTAGAATGATTAAGTCAAGGAGGATGCGATGGAAAAGGAATGTAGCACGAATGGGGGAGAAGAGGAATGCATAGAGGGTATTGGTGGGAAAGAACCAGTGGGAAAACCAAGGCGTGGGCGGGGGACCAATATTAAAATGGATCATAGAGAGATAGGATGGGATGGTAGGGATTGGATTTATCTGGCTCAGGATAGGAACCAGTCGACGGCTCTTGTAACGCTGTAATGAACCTTCGGGCTCCATAAAATGATGGGAAGCTCTTGAGTATCTGCACAATTGGCGGCTTCTTAAGAAGGGCTCAACTCCATGTGTGAGTGAGTGAGTGAGTGAGTGAGTGAGCTACGGATCGTAGCTTGAAACATAATAATAAAATGGATCTTAAGGAATTAGAATGCAATGATATGGAATAGATTTATCTGGCACAGGATAGGGACTGATGGAGGGCTCTTTGTGAGCACGATAACGAATCTCCGGGTTTCTTAAAATGTTGGGAAATTCTTGATTTGATAAGCGACTGAAGGCTTCTTAAGAGGAACCCAGCTGTCGAGCAGGGAGTTAGACGGATTTTTGTCTCTGCGGATGGTAGGGCGAAAACCCATGAGATCTGACACAATGTGTGGTGGGAAAAGTAACATGGTGTCCGGGTTTCTCTGAGTGTTTTTGTTCGGTCCTGTAATGTTCCGTGTGTATCTGTTTCATTACTGCCCCTAAGGTGCTGCACTAGGTCCGACCAGCCACCTCACTGTGATAACTAAGTTCGGAACAGATTACTACTCCAACATTTACGTGAAATCTTGGAAAAATATTCAACATCTCTTTGTGTAGGGGACAAATACTGCTTCACAACACTGCAGAAGTATTCGCTATTGTGAATATGTTATGAATAAATAAATATTAATATCAAATATCAAGCATATATTTATGTAGCAATAAATAATAATCGTAGACCATTTTCTCATGGTAAAATTTTCTAAGATTTTCTATCTTCTGGGATATAAAGTCTTCTAGTCGGTTTAAAGTCAACCTAAGTTTCGGAGGAACATAACGCTTACACAAACGCCAAACAAAAATCTAACATGAAACAGGTAGCAAGCAGAAACTTCGACCCTGAAGAGGGAGGCGGTATGTTCCTCCGAAATATTGGTTGACTTTCAGCGGACGATACTTCGTTATATATCTTCATAATTGCAGCTGAGAGAACTTCGAAATATGCATAAAAATCTTTCATTTAAAAAAAATTAAAGTTTTTAGAAATATATGAAGGACATTTCTCTTTTTGCTCCCAATATTAAAATACAATGCATTCCATTTTCACAAAAAAATAGATCTGTTTCGGGAATTAATTCCTTGAATACAAGTTCTCTAATTTTTAAAAGTAAAATGTACTTTTCCTTCTTTTTGGAATTTTAAAATGAATAAATTTTCTGTAGTTCAGGATTAATTCGAGTTATTCCTTTGCCATCCTTAACATCCAGGATTGAATTCACTCTACTGGGAATGGTTGCTTTGAAAAGAGAATACCACTTCGATTCTCTGTAAAGTAGCCTGGACATTTTTGGATTTCATTGAATTTGTTGAAAACTGATCATAATAAAGAGAGTAAGCAATTACGACCCCTAAGTACGAAGGAGAGTCAGTAAATAGGTCACAAATGGCTATAAAAATATAAAACAATGAGATTCGAACATGGGACATCGACATCTCGTATAAAATGCAGAGCTGAAAGATTAATCGTTTTCACAGATATTGACGTTATTAATGAATTTATTAAACAGAAAGGTAAGGCCGCGCCATAGCTCAAGCGGTTAGTCGCTGGCTTCCCACCGCGGCTGTCCGGGTTCGAGCCCGGATCTGGTCAAATGTGATTTGTGGTGGACAAAGTGGCGCTGGGGCAGGTTTTCTCCGAGTACTTCGGTTTCCCCTGCCAATCTTCATTCCACCAATTGCCCCACAATCACCCTCACCTATCATCTGGGGCTGGTACAATAGGCCAGAAATGGCCGCAGTACAAGGGACTTAGTCCCACCCCACTAGCAATAAAAACAAATTACAAAAGTAAGTAATTTCAACAACTTACCTGTTCCACCCAGAGGTTGGTAGTCATGATCTGATTCTTGAGGTTCTGAAAGAAATAATAACAGAGTTATTGTCTGCGCACGTTTCAAAGTATAACCTGCAGAAAATTTAAACTTTTAGACATATATAAATTATGTACTGCTAACTCAGTCGGTAAAACATGGTGGACGGCTAGAGTTTGATTTCCGGTTGGGGTAAGAGATTGTTATATTCTCCAAATCGTCCAGACTGACCCTGGGGCCCACCCAACTTCTTATCCAATAGGTAAAGGAGGCTTTTTCATTGTAGTTAAAGCGAGCGGAGCATGAAGCTGACAACATCTCCATCTAGTGTCTTAGTAATAAATAATGGAGCTATATCTCCCCTGCAGATATCGGTGCCCGCACGTTGTAAGGCATAAACTCTCTTCGTTCTCTCGCAAGCTGGTATCGTGGGTTCGAATCTCACTTGAGGTATGGATGTGTGTTTGTGTTATCCTGTGTGTAGTTAATGCCCTTGATAGGGGCTGATCACTTGTGCAAGGAGTCCACAGTATGTGTAAAGAAATGAAAGAGAAGTCAGGGCCCAACAAAAATGGCTGCACAGCCATTAGTGAATGAATGAAATACCTCCACTCTCCTAACGTCTTTATGGAGTGGTGCTTAATTAAATAAGCACAACGACAATTTTATCAAATTTTGAGGTCTTTCTAGAAAAAAAAGAGGTCAGGAAAGAGGCTCCAAAGATAATGTTTTGACAAGGGTCCATTCAGATCGGTCCTGTGCGCACTGTACACACATTTCTATCAATCGGTGGCTCAATATAAGCGCCATCTGCGGCTGGAATATCGATTTGATTGTTGTATGTCGCCCTCCACAGTAAACGTCAAATAGCTACCAGAGAACTGCGTTACCTAATTGTCCCTCCCAAGTGTTCTGTTTATCCAGCACTACGAACGCTATAATTTCGTCTTGATTACCTTTGACATTTCGTTTGGCGTAATGGTAACGAACTTTGATACTGTAAGCCATATTAATCCTTCAGCTGTCTGATGTTTCAATTTTTCATAATCTGTAAGATCTATAGATTAATTTTGTTGTACTGTCACGTAGTTCAGTGACTAGAGACGCGAGTTTGGATTGGTAATCGGATTTATTAACAACCTAGTGGCTATAATTACAAATAATTATAACACTATTTCTTATTTACACAATTTACAATCACTGCACACTAATCTTCTCAGTCTATCTGCACTAGTCTTCACGGGTTTAAAACACAGGAACTATAAAAGTCTCACAAAATCTCACACTCCCAATATCACTATGCTACAGCATACATAAAGTTCTCAAATCACACGTTAGATCTTCATATGCTGACTTCTTGTACTCTTCTTCAAATACGAACTTCCCGTGGCTGTCTCCTGCCGAGAACTGACTCGTCCCTGAACCGAACGAATTCTGTCACTTATATAGTAGAGGAACGGACACGCATCACAGGAAACACATGCCACGTGACCACCGCCCACCGCTGCGTGGCATCATCTCGGACACGGAAAACACAGCCTCCTCTACTGTTGCGTGTTGGACCGTGTATACAGAGCTGTTGCCTGGTAATGCGTGGATCATATACGTTACGGTATATTTATTGTCAGTGAGTTAGACAAATTGCTGGCGAAGTTAACTTCATATTGTTTACAATTGTAGTATTATATCGATATTACTTATAGTACCGTCCATTGCCAGAGGCATATTCGCCGTAATGCACATAACTTTTCAAGAGTTTGCTCCGTCGTTGTCCCAGTGATTATAATTACTGCATTAGCATAGAATTCAAAAGTTTTCCCGTTCAGTCCCAACAGTTACCGCTAATCTCAGAAGAAAAGAGAAACATCTGTCAGTAAAGTCCATCTACTCTATGAATCGGAACACGTCACACCTTGTGAAGGCAACCTTACGGAATAAAATTCCCCTGGAGTTATGTTTGATTTTCCAGTCGACGTATGGATGTCAGAAGTATACTGAAAATAGAAAGTAGCGAATTTTCTAATGATTGCGTAACGGTCTACGTCACCAACTGACGATGACGCCCCTTCTTTCCCGTAACAGATTGAGTTTACAATGACAATACATCTTCTGAAGACGGGAGTAGATTTCGTTTCAGAAACGTTGTCCGCTGGAAACAAACCTCAGAAAATTAATGTTTTAATGTTAAATGTAATATTTATATTGTAGCTTGTAGAGTCTTTTCTAGGCAACGGCTCGGTAAAAACGATCCCGCTGCAAAGGATATACATGCAAAAATATAGGTACTGTTGGAAAATGCGTTTTCTACTAGGTCCGTGTAAAGAGGTTATAATGAGGACAATTAAAGCAGGAAATGTTCATTTGGAAGGAAGCCATCATTCAGAAAGGACTTGAGCCTGGAATCAGAGGAGTAGCCATTGTATAAGCCGTTACCAGGCAACTACTAGTGAGCACAATGTGGACTGGAGAGGACTTGGTGTGTGATTTGGGAAGTGTGGAAATAAGCGATAGCGTTGTAATTAAGTGTAGTTACGAATCGTGTGCTAAAGTGGTCAATAAATCCAATATCTAATCCCAGACCCCATAATACGTGACAATATAATGAATAAACTAATATCACAAATTTTCAGAAAATTGTAAATTATACACAATTTGTTGTAAATTAAGGGAAAATGCACATTACTTACTATAAAAGTAACTCTAATTCTTACACTTTAAATTGAATGATAAGGTAAATTTGTTCCAATGTTTAACTAATTAAACACTATGCCATGATGGCGTATTGGAGAGTGGATATACAGAGTGTTTCACGACTTTAGGGCATAACTGCAGGAGGTCATTTTCTAGGTCTTTGTGATCAAAAATGTTCATATAAACATGTGTCCAATTTCGGACGGTTACGGAGTTATGATCATTTTAAACTTAGAAGAGAAGGTAAAGTTTACTGACAATAAATGGAACAAAATAATGAACAGGCATAAGGCATGATACATTTAAAGTATGAATGTAAAGTTAACTTCGTGAAATTACCTTTAATTTGAATTTATTAGTGCTTAAAGCTGATTTTCGAAAATGCCACCGCCGGCCGCAAAACAGGTTGCCGCTCTGTTGTGAACCGCGCCGGAAATACCAACCCACCCCGCCTTAGGTACCTCTCAAGTGTCGAGATAACGAGAACTCTCTGTCTGTAGCTGGCTAAATATAGCGACCCGCCAGCTGACAGCCGCGGTTCACACTAGGGCGTGTACGGGAATGAAAAAACGGTCATTACTCCGTAACCGTCCAAAATCGGACACATGTTTATATGAACTTTTTTGATCACAAAGTCATAGGAAATCGTCTTCTGCAGTTACGCCTTAAAGTCGTGAAACACCCTATATAGATCCACATTTTCTTGACCTCGGCACTAGTTGGAGGTGAGTGTTAAGCTTCCTACTCGGGCCGCTTTATTCCCGGGGAAAGAGCCCCCGGTACCCATTGGATACGAATTTGTGTACCAGAGCCGGTACGGACGCCATGAAGAAGAAAAAATTCTTGACCCTACAGGGACTCGAACTCCGACTCCTCGGCCGTCCAGCCCATAGCTAGTCGCTGTACCGACTGAGCTATCGCGCTGCTCCTTTCCTATTATTCTACCTTAAGAATATTTAGGAGTGGTAACCCTGACCTGGACGAAGACGAGTGTGCATCCTAGCGGTCTGGGCACTAACTCCCCGGTACACAGTTAAGTGTGTGAGAACCAGATCTCTACGTCTTGAGGGGGAGATAAACCTCCTGGTCAAGTTCCCGTCCCTCTGAATGAGCTGTCCCTTCTAAATTACACGTACTTCCAAGAGACCAGTAAATATAGTTCATTTGTTAGCTGAAATCAGCAGCAACCATCATTTTGTATTCAGTCACCTCAATCTAGTGCCAATGTTTAGATTACGTGAAACTATACCTCCATTCTCTGATAGGTCTTCATGTCGTGGATCTTAATTATTTAAGCACAGAGAAAACTTGACTTTCTCACTCCATTCTATATACAAACTCCTTAAACGATAAAACACTCTTCCTCAAAAGAAATTACTCCAATGACTACAAACACGTATAGACGTAAGGTTGAAATAACTGGGTCAGACTTGTTACTCAGTGGTAGATGGGCCTAAGAGACGCGCAAGATTGCTTCTCCAGAAATGACATACTAAGATGTTAACTTTGTTGTAATGGAGTTGTTTTTCCTAAAGCAATTTCAACAAAGTTCTAATATGGGGTGTAAGCTTTTAGTGAGCAAACTCTGGGGATGTTGAAATGTGAAATGTTTTCTGCCAGCTGCCACAACGAGGAGAGTTACCGGTGTAGAACACCCCGGTTACTTATTTAATTTACGAGCATGAAAAATAATTGTATTCATCCACGAAACACAGACCTAATCCTGTTATTTAAAAAATCTTATTCTTTCTCAAGACTTATTGGCTTTCTATAGAACAGATTAGTTATATGAATTGTTACTAGTTTCTTTAGGCCGCGCCATAGCTCAAGCGGTTAGTCGCTGGCTTCCCACCGCGGCTGACCTGGTTCGATTCCGGGTTTAGTCAAGTGGGATTTGTGGTGCACAAAGTGGCGCTGGGGCGGGTTTTCTCCGAGTACTTCGGTTTCCCCTGACAATCTTCATTCACAAATTCTCCATCATCATAATCACCCGGGGCAGGCTACAATAGGCCAATCAGTGGCCTCTGTGCCGAGTGGACCCAGTTGGACTCCATTCCCCACTATGTGAATTAAGAAAAAATCACTTGATTGCATGATCTGTTAGTACATAAATTACTTAGTAAGAAAGGTACTCACTCTGATATTTTTTATGTTACTTAATTTCGTTAATTTTCTAAGTTACATGCTTACGTAGGATATGAGGCTCTCACAGCAATAGTTATGAAGATTTCTATCTTCCTTTATATAACGCCATGTAATTCGTTTAAATTCAACATATATTTCGGGGAAAGGAGATCTGCTTGCCATCTGCTTCATGCTGGATTTTTTTTTGTTTATTCTTCGACCCTTTAGA